TTAAAGATGGAGGAGAAGAAAGAGTTAAAGATGGAGGAGAAGAAGAAAGAGTTAAAGATGGAGGAGAAGAAGAGTTAAAGATGGAGAAGAAGAAAGAGTTAAAGATGGAGGAGAAGAAGAAGAGTTAAAGATGGAGAGAAGAAGAAGAGTTAAAGATGGAGGAGAAGAAGAGTTAAAGATGGAGAAGAAGAAAGAGTTAAAGATGGAGGAGAAGAAAGAGTTAAGATGGAGGAGAGAGAAGAAAGAGTTAAAGATGGAGGAGAAGAAAAAGAGTTAAAGATGGAGAGAGAAGAAAGAGTTAAAGATGGAGGAGAAGAAGAAAGAGTTAAAGATGGAGGAGAAGAAGAAAGAGTTAAAGATGGAGAAGAAGAAAGAGTTAAGATGGAGGAGAAGAAGAAAGAGTTAAAGATGGAGAAGAAGAAAGAGTTAAAGATGGAGGGAAGAAGAAAGAGTTAAAGATGGAGAAGAAGAGAAAGAGTTAAGATGAGGAGAAGAAGAAAGAGTTAAAGATGGAGGAGAAGAAAGAGTTAAAGATGGAGGAGAAGAAGAAAGAGTTAAAGATGGAGGAGAAGAAGAAAGAGTTAAAGATGGAGGAGAAGAAGAAAGAGTTAAAGATGGAGGAGAAGAAAGAGTTAAAGATGGAGAAGAAGAAAGAGTTAAAGATGGAGGAGAAGAGAAAGAGTTAAAAGATGGAGGAGAAGAAGAAAGAGTTAAAGATGGAGGAGAAGAAGAAAGAGTTAAAGATGGAGGAGAAGAAGAAAGAGTTAAAGATGGAGGAAAGAAGAAAGAGTTAAAGATGGAGGAGAAGAAAGAGTTAAAGATGGAGAAGAAGAAGAAGAGTTAAAGATGGAGGAGAAGAAGAAAGAGTTAAAGATGGAGGAGAAGAAGAAAGAGTTAAAGATGGAGGAGAAGAAGAGTTAAAGATGGAGAAAGAAGAAAGAGTTAAAGATGGAGGAGAAGAAGAAAGAGTTAAAGATGGAGGAGAAGAAGAAAGAGTTAAGATGGAGGAGAAGAAGAAAGAGTTAAAGATGGAGGAGAAGAAGAAAGAGTTAAAGATGGAGGAAGAAGAAAGAGTTAAAGATGGAGAAGAAGAGAGTTAAAGATGGAGGAGAAGAAGAAAGAGTTAAAGATGGAGGGAGAAGAAGAAGAGTTAAAGATGGAGAAGAAGAAGAAAGAGTTAAAGATGGAGAGAAGAAAGAGTTAAAGATGGAGAAGAAGAAGAAAGAGTTAAAGATGGAGGAGAAGAAGAAAGAGTTTAAAGATGGAGAGAAGAAGAAAGAGTTAAAGATGGAGAAGAAGAAGAAAGAGTTAAAGATGGAGGAGAAGAAGAAAGAGTTAAAGATGGAGAAGAGAAGAAAGAGTTAAAGATGGAGAAGAAGAAGAAAGAGTTAAAGATGGAGAAGAAGAAGAAAGAGTTAAAGATGGAGGAGGAAGAAGAAAGAGTTAAAGATGGAGAAGAAGAAGAAAGAGTTAAAGATGGAGAAGAGAAGAAAGAGTTAAAGATGGAGAGAAGAAGAAAGAGTTAAAGATGGAGGAAGAAGAAAGAGTTAAAGATGGAGGAGAAGAAGAAAGAGTTAAAGATGAGAGAAAGAAGAAAGAGTTAAAGATGAGGGAGAAGAAGAAAGAGTTGAAGATGGAGGAGAAGAAAGAGTTAAGATGGAGGAGAAGAAGAAAGAGTTAAAGATGGAGGAGAAGAAGAAAGAGTTAAAGATGGAGGAGAAGAAAGAGTTAAAGATGGAGGAGAAGAAGAAAGAGTTAAAGATGGAGGAGAAGAAAGAGTTAAAGATGGAGGAGAAGAAGAAAGAGTTAAAGATAGAGGAGAAGAAGAAAGAGTTAAAGATGGAGGAGAAGAAAGAGTTAAAGATGGAGAGAAGAAGAAAGAGTTAAAGATGGAGGAGAAGAAGAAAGAGTTAAAGATGGAGGAGAAGAAGAAAGAGTTAAAGATGGAGGAGAAGAAAGAGTTAAAGATGGAGAAGAAGAAAGAGTTAAAGATGGAGGAGAAGAAGAAAGAGTTAAAGATGGAGGAGAAGAAGAAAGAGTTAAAGATGGAGGAGAAGAAGAAAGAGTTAAAGATGGAGGAGAAGAAGAAAGAGTTAAAGATGGAGGAGAAGAAAGAGTTAAAGATGGAGAAGAAAGAGGTAAAGATGGAGGAGAAGAAGAAAGAGTTAAAGATGGAGGAGAAGAAGAAAGAGTTAAAGATGGAGGAGAAGAAGAAAGAGTTAAAGATGGAGGAGAAGAAGAAAGAGTTAAAGATGGAGGAGAAGAAGAAAGAGTTAAAGATGGAGGAGAAGAAAGAGTTAAAGATGGAAAGAAGAAAGAGTTAAAGATGGAGGAGAAGAAAGAGTTAAAGATGGAGGAGAAGAAGAAAGAGTTAAAGATGGAGAAGAAGAAGAAAGAGTTAAAGATGGAGGAGAAGAAGAAAGAGTTAAAGATGGAGAAGAAGAAAGAGTTAAAGATGGAGGAGAAGAAGAAAGAGTTAAAGATGGAGGAGAAGAAGAAAGAGTTAAAGATAGAGGAGAAGAAGAAAGAGTTAAAGATGGAGGAGAAGAAAGAGTTAAAGATGGAGAAGAAAAAGAGTTAAAGATGGAGGAGAAGAAGAAAGAGTTAAAGATGGAGGAGAAGAAGAAAAGTTAAAGATGGAGGAGAAGAAGAAAGAGTTAAAGATGGAGGGAGAAGAAGAAAGAGTTAAAGATGGAGGAGAAGAAAGAGTTAAAGATGGAGAAGAAGAGAAAGAGTTAAAGATGGAGGAGAAGAAGAAAGAGTTAAAGATGGAGGAGAAGAAGAAAGAGTTAAAGATGGAGAAGAAGAAAGAGTTAAAGATGGAGAAGAAGAAAGAGTTAAAGATGGAGGAGAAGAAGAAAAGAGTTAAAGATGGAGAGAAGAAAGAGTTAAAGATGGAGGAGAAGAAGAAAGAGTTAAAGATGGAGGAGAAGAAGAAAGAGTTAAAGATGGAGGAGAAGAAAGAGTTAAAGATGGAGGAGAAGAAAGAGTTAAAGATGGAGGAGAAGAAGAAAGAGTTAAAGATGGAGGAGAAGAAGAAAGAGTTAAAGATGGAGGAGAAGAAAGAGTTAAAGATGGAGGAGAAGAAAGAGTTAAAGATGGAGGAGAAGAAGAAAGAGTTAAAGATGGAGAAGAAGAAGAAAGAGTTAAAGATGGAGAAGAAGAAGAAAGAGTTAAAGATGGAGGAGAAGAAAGAGTTAAAGATGGAGGAGAAGAAAGAGTTAAAGATGGAGGGAAGAAAGAAAGAGTTAAAGATGGAGAGAAGAAAGAGTTAAAGATGGAGAGAAGAAGAAAGAGTTAAAGATGGAGAAGAAGAAGAAAGAGTTAAAGATGGAGGAGAAGAAAGAGTTAAAGATGGAGAAGAAGAAGAAAGAGTTAAAGATGGAGAAGAAGAAGAAAGAGTTAAAGATGGAGGAGAAGAAAGAGTTAAAGATGGAGGAGAAGAAAGAGTTAAAGATGGAGGAGAAGAAGAAAGAGTTAAAGATGGAGGAGAAGAAGAAAGAGTTAAAGATGGAGGAGAAGAAGAAAGAGTTAAAGATGGAGGAGAAGAAGAAAGAGTTAAAGATGGAGGAGAAGAAAGAGTTAAAGATGGAGAAGAAGAAAGAGTTAAAGATGGAGAAAGAAGAAGAAAGAGTTAAAGATGGAGGAGAAGAAGAAAGAGTTAAAGATGGAGAAGAAGAAAGAGGTTAAAGATGGAGGAGAAGAAAGAGTTAAAGATGGAGAAGAAGAAGAAAGAGTTAAAGATGGAGGAGAAGAAGAAAGAGTTAAAGATGGAGAAGAAGAAGAAAGAGTTAAAGATGGAGAAGAAGAAGAAAGAGTTAAAGATGGAGGAGAAGAAGAAAGAGTTAAAGATGGAGAAGAAGAAGAAAGAGTTAAAGATGGAGAAGAAGAAGAAAGAGTTAAAGATGGAGGAGGAGAAGAAAGAGTTAAAGATGGAGAAGAAGAAGAAAGAGTTAAAGATGGAGGAGGAGAAGAAAGAGTTAAAGATGGAGAAGAAGAAGAAAGAGTTAAAGATGGAGAAGAAGAAGAAAGAGTTAAAGATGGAGAAGAAGAAGAAAGAGTTAAAGATGGAGGAGAAGAAGAAAGAGTTAAAGATGGAGGAGAAGAAGAAAGAGTTAAAGATGGAGAAGAAGAAGAAAGAGTTAAAGATGGAGAAGAAGAAAGAGTTGAAGATGAGGAGAAGAAAGAGTTGAAGATGGAGGAGAAGAAGAAAGAGTTAAAGATGGAGGAGAAGAAGAAAGAGTTAAAGATGGAGGAGAAGAAAGAGTTAAAGATGGAGGAGAAGAAGAAAGAGTTAAAGATGGAGGAGAAGAAAGAGTTGAAGATGGAGGAGAAGAAGAAAGAGTTAAAGATGGAGGAGAAGAAGAAAGAGTTAAAGATGGAGGAGAAGAAAGAGTTGAAGATGGAGGAGAAGAAGAAAGAGTTAAAGATGGAGGAGAAGAAGAAAGAGTTAAAGATGGAGAAGAAGAAGAAAGAGTTAAAGATGGAGGAGAAGAAGAAAGAGTTAAAGATGGAGGAGAAGAAGAAAGAGTTGAAGATGGAGGAGAAGAAGAAAGAGTTAAAGATGGAGGAGAAGAAGAAGAAAGAGTTAAAGATGGAGAAGAAGAAGAAAGAGTTAAAGATGGAGGAGAAGAAGAAAGAGTTGAAGATGGAGGAGAAGAAGAAAGAGTTAAAGATGGAGGAGAAGAAGAAGAAAGAGTTAAAGATGGAGGAGAAGAAGAAAGAGTTGAAGATGGAGGAGAAGAAGAAAGAGTTAAAAAGATGGAGGAGAAGAAGAAAGAGTTAAAGATGGAGAAGAAGAAGAAAGAGTTAAAGATGGAGAAGAAGAAGAAAGAGTTAAAGATGGAGGAGAAGAAGAAAGAGTTAAAGATGGAGAAGAAGAAGAAAGAGTTAAAGATGGAGGAGAAGGATGAAACAGACAACAAAGGAGAAGGACATAAGAAAAGAATGGATGAATGAGGTGAAGAGGAAGTGGATGACATCATGAGGCGTTCACTGACCCTCGAACAGCTCAGTGTTGTCGATCTGACCCGGGAAGGACGACGAGTTCTGGTCTCCGGTCTCCACAAACTCCTTCCACTGTTCATACCAACGACGCTCCACCACGTACCTGACACACACACACACACCACACACACACACACACACCACACACACAACACACACACACACAACACACACACCACACACACACACACACACACACACACACACACACACACACACACACACACACACACACACACACACACAACCACACACACACACACACACACACACACAGTGAATAAACAGCACTCCCTTCTCATTCTGACACTTCAGCTCTTTGACCTTTGACCTTTAGATTCAAACATGATGCTCCAATAAAAGGAAGTGATGATAAAGACGAGGAGAAACAAACATGAAAAATATCAGATAACAAGGCGGCCATGTTGAACTCTTATGACCTAAATAAAGACACAGAGGGTGTGTTTGAATTGTCCCTCCTGTCTCCTTCACTATCCACTTC